ATTACTATCTGTTAACATAAAAATGACATTGAATAAGTTTCAAATAGCAAATATAATGGAAGAATGAAATCTATGTAATGAAGTCTTTTACTTAAAATAAAACATGAAGAACAAATGTATAAACTATGAATTCATACTCTAAAACATGTATATGTATATCATAGTGCTATATTTGACTCTATCAACATAAATGGCTTTTTATTTCACTAAATTAACTCAGTGTTAATATTTATATATGTGTATGCACACACATGTCTTTGCATGTACATGCTGCTGTACGTCAATTTAAGAATCAGACTTGATATTAAAGTCATCTGGTTTCAAAAGAATTAACAAGATTTTCAAAACATGGGCAATTCTTGAATTGCTATTTCTGGTTTACTGAATGATGGTGGAACAATTATGCCACAGCTCCTGCTATATAAAAGCTATAACACTCTTTTTATCTCATTATTATTTAAATGTTAAATGCTCCATTATAGAGGTAAATTAGATTTAAAATAAAATGTTTCAAGCAAAAGAGCCAAAAATATAGGGTTAAAAGATAATAACAAGGGCTTCAATGTGTGGTATGAGCTTGCCAGGTCATGGATTGAAATTTTGATATACTAAGAAAGACAGACCTTCTGACATGCCTAATAGAGAATAAATATACTGATCTGAAACAAAAAGTATGTGAAACACCTGTTACGTGACAGAAGAAATGTGCATTGGACCACCAGCCTGTCATAAATATTGCACTCTTAATCAGAGAGCATCTGCCTTTCTGTTTCATTTTCAGCAATTGCTGCATTGTGTTTAATCTGTGCAGAATGCTTCTCCTAACAGGTGTGCTGGTGTTTACCAATTTAAAATCTTATTTAAATGAAGCTTACAACTAGAGATGATTCAATTAATGGGCAATAGCTTATAAGAAGAAATAATTCTAACACTTGCCAGATCCATCTATGGTTTCGAATTTGTTAAATATAATTATTGGAAAATTAGCATTTAAATGCCAAGAAAAGCTAAACATGAAGGGTGTTTCAAGCAACTGCATGCAATATACAAATATCTACATCCAGAAACACTATTGGGAAACATAACTTGTAGGAATGTAGCCAGTGAAATATTTGCAGAAAGATATTATAAAATGCCACATTTCATAAGATAAAATAGAACAAACAATGCCCCATGGGGCCATAAAAATTGGTATCTAAGGCACTAGTTTTACTTTTCCCATAGTTCAATTTTTTTTCAAATTTCCAAAATTCAATTATTGAATAAGCAATAGCCTCCCTTATCTGTAGTTTTACTTTCCAGTTTGTTAGCTGTGGTCAACCACAGTCTAAAAATATTACATACAAAACTTCAGGAAAAATACCAACATTTTAAATTATGTGCCATTGTGAGCAGGTGACAAAACCTCATGCTGTCCTATTCCATCCCTGAAGGATGTGAATCATCCCTTTAGCCAGCATGTCCATGCTGAATACCATACCTTCCCATTAGTAGCCACTGTGGTTATCAGATCTACTGTCACAATTTTGATGTGGTTTTGTTCAAAGAAACCTATTTTACTTATTTTAGGATAATTTTACTTAATAATAGCCACAAAGCACAAGAGCAGTGATCCTGCCAATTCTATTATGGTGTATTGTTAATATTATTTATCTTAGTTTTAGTATTTTTCAATCTCTTAATCTGCCTAATTTATATATTACACTTTATCATTGATATTAGTATACAGGAAAATATGGTACATACTACCAACCTCACCTTCATTGGGTTCTTGGAATTTACACTCTGCAGCCAAGAGGGGATTAATGTAATAGTTCCATAATTAAACTTACAAGCCAAAAAAAAAAAAAATCCTAAGGTCTACATTATAGTTATCCAAGGAAATTTTAAAGAGATAATTTCTTCAAAAACATGACTACAAGAGGTTTGCATAAGTGCATGGAAAAAAATGTATAATGGAAACAATTGTGTAGGTTTAAAAATGTATCTGTACCAAATTAAACTCATCTTTACATTTCATTTTTCAGTGAACTATCTGATGTAACATTGTTTAATCATAAAATTAGTTCATTAAGACACATAACTTTCAAACTGATCTTAAAAGCTGTAGGATTATTCTCTTCAACTCTTTTATTCAAAATGAGTTCAGAGATAATAAACTCACTTTCTACAAGAGCAAGGCAGGCAATGTCAGTGACACAAGTCTGTTGAAACATATGGCCCTCTAGGTTGCTCATTTATTTCCCAACTTTGGATGGAAACATGTGTTTAAGAAAATATTCTTAATGGAACTCTTGGACTAAGAACTGGTAGATCCCTTGATAAACAGCATGACTACTTCCATGAAAAGAAAGAGCTCAATGTTCCCAGATACACAATTTTTCAATAAAGTGCAGGGCAACAAAATATATTAGTGGACTAGGGATTTCAATCTGCAACCTTCCGTGGGTTACTTCAGAACATGGTTTTACTGTCAAACAGATCTGAGGTCAGCCTCTGTGTAAGCCAATTATTATCTCTATGACACCTGATAAGCTACTTGACTTCAAATTCCATTTACTCCTCAGCAGAGAAGGAGTTAATAATAATAGCTAACTCATCAGTATGTTATAAATATGAAATAAATTAATATATAAAATGCTTAGCATAGCTAGTGCTTAATAAGTGGTAGATTTTTTTTGTTTTATCCTGTTTTAATTAGATATAGATAAGGAAACAGAAGCCTAAAGAGATCTAGGTAATTTGACCATTGACATGGAGGAATTTGACAACTCAGGTTTCCTAATTCCAGTTCACCAAGCTATCTCCCAAAGACTACTTATGAAAGTTATTAACCATTTTAAAATATACACAAATTTATTAGAACTCATTTCCTCACATAATTTACTAATTGATGTAGTATCAACATTTTTATATTATGGATAAAGCCTTTCAATACTTACAATTTCTCTTAATAGCTATATACAAATATTTATTATTGGTTAACCCAGAAATCAAAGGTTAATGTCCACTCACACAAAATTACCTCCTCATAAGCATTTGTATTTTCTAAGAGACAAATTCACTTAAAAAATTATACCCACTAAAGCAATATAAGCAAGGTCACTTTTTATAAAGCATAGTGGAGTATTTTTAAATTATTTTTGGAAACAAATACAATAAAGATGATGTTGATGATGAGAAAGAAGTTTGGGATTTAATTTGAAAAACTGATTAGTTCCATCACACTAAACCAGGTCTCAATTTTAGCTTGAGGCATTTCCCAATAATTATGGCACTTTCTTAGAACTTTACTGGGCCCTGTTTCTGCATTTTCTTAAAATGAACCCTCAGATTCCCAGCTTCAGGTCCTACTTTGTCAGCCTGGAAAGCTTGTTTTTACTTAATAATTAACAAGTTCCTCCATTCCACTGATGTGTTGCTTTCTAAAAACTTTAGAAAATCTCTCACTAATGTGTTGAATGTACAATTACACAATAATAATTGTATTGATTGACAGCTATGGTTGATGGAGGCCTTATTATTAGCTCAATTTTGTCACAGCCTTTCACACACACAGTTTCAGCAACTCTAGCCATTGCTCTATGAAGCAGATTCTATAAATGTACCAAGGTACCTTATTTGTAAAAATTCAGAAAGAAGTGAAATGATTTGTCTTGTGTTAAAGACTTTTAGTCCCATTCTCATGACTATATCAGGTAAGTTCTCTGAATTATTGGCACAAAACTCAACCAAAATGAAATGGACACATATTGAATAAGAGCTACAATCAACCTGGTAGCATAATAGGAGCTGGACAAGGTTGGGTGGGGAGATAATAAGAGATGTTAAAAGATCCTAAACCTAAAGTCTGTGAATTTTATAACATATCACTTTGATTATAATATATTTACTGAGCTTATGTAGAAGAAAAGATACTTCTAAATGTACCCATTTTTAAACAATGGCATATGAACATCCTAACTTAAAAAAATCAAGTAATAATTACTTTTGCATTACCCAAGAATTCAACTCATCACAATAGAATTCAACCATGGTTTTTTCCCTTGATAAAATTGTTATTAGTAATCATTAGCTGATTACAGAGAACCTGAAGGGAAATGAGAGAAGGGAGAGGTGACTGTAGAGAATCATGAGGCTAAGTATTGCTAAAAGATATTAGAAATGCTATTAGATATGCATTTCTGAAGTGTTGCCTATACAAATATAATTTAAACACTCTTTTTCAGGAACATCTGTATTTCAATAGAAAGAAAGTTATACTTTATCTTCCAAATGCTATTTTGTTAATGTAACAATCACTTCAAGCAGACTGCCCCTGAAGCTTTCAAATAGTTCCTAACAATTCAGGAACAATTTGTAAAAGAAGGGAAGATTTTCCAATAGGTTTAGATCTTCATAAAAACAGTTTGCTATGACATAACTCTGAGACAGATTAAAAGTATTAAAGTCCAACAGATGGGTGAACAGAGACTTAGTTAACATGAATCATGCCTTTTTGATATTCTTTGTGAAAAAGCCTTCTGTCTTCACGGAAGGGTAGTATCTTTTTAGGAAGGCAAACTATTGACCAACTTCGGGTAGCTAATCCACACTACACATTAATATACAGCACATGAAAGACATTTTCCCTTGGGCAAGGAGAGAAGAATCTATTGCACATGTCATCTGTTTCTGTGAATACTGACGACTACAATTATGTTTTGATGTTAATCCAACTCCTGAAAATTTCAGCTGCAAAACACTGTGAAAATGTGAGTTACAGTATACATCTTTTTAAATTGAATTAACTGTTGAAAAGACCTGATGTTTTCAAATACTGTTACAATGCCTCTGAACAAGAATAACTCTCAAAACTACTTTCTCTCATGACCTATTTGGTATGAAAGACGAATAACCAACATAAAATCAAATTCCAGACAAGTGCCGTACTGTGAGTGACTGAGTTGAGTGAGTATGTGTGTATGTGTGTTTATGTGAGTATTTTTAGGAACATTCACCTCTAATGCTTTGCTGTCCTCATAAGCAAACTCCACGGTGGGAACTCCAAGATGGTTGATGAAATAATCGGCATCACCTTTTATTTGTACAGAACTGACATTCGTTTCTGTGCACTGAGCTCTTCTGGTACAGTTGAAGTTATTTTTCTGAAACACAGAATTTAAATTGTTAATACATAATATGCTCTCAGGTCATCCCTAAATTAGTGCTACATAAAATGTGTCCCAGGCTTTGCAGCATCGAAGTCACCCAGGTTCTTGTTCTAAATGTGGATGCTTAGGCTCCACCCTTTCCAACCTAATGGGCACACCCAGGGGTGGAGCCCTAGAATCTGTATTGTAGTCCTCCTCTACGATGCTGATGCTCATTGAGCAGAATCAAGCTTTCCTTGCTGTTGTGCTTCTAAAACATTCTTCTTATAGATTTATTTTGAATTCAAATGAAAGGTAGTTCTTTAATTTGAAAATGCTTAAAAAGAATTTTGGATCACTGAAATGGTTTGAGCTTTTTGCTTGTTTTGTTTTTTTATTTTCCCATAAATTTAAAGGATGTCTTTTGTAGGATATAATCCATTTTTCTTAAAATGTTTATCAAAAATAACAGAAGGGACTTTCTTCATTTCTTCTTAAAAGCACATTCTTAAATGTTTTAGGAGTATATTCCAGGGGCTGCATTGTGGTACAATGGGTTAAGCCACTGCCGGCAATGCCAGTATTCTATACAGATGCTGGTCATACAGGCACTGGCATGTGTCCTGGCTGCTCCATTTCTGATACAGCTCCCTGATAATGCACCCGAGAAAGTAGTGGAAGATGGCCCAAGTGCTTGGCCTCTGCAACCATGTGGGAGACCTGAACGAAGCTGCTGGCCCCTGACTTCTGCCTGGCCCAGCCTCAACTTTTGTCATCATTTGGGTACTAAACCAGCAGATGGAAAATATTCTCTCTCTCTCCCTCTGTAACTCTGCCTTTCAAGGAAATAAATAAAATCTTTTTAAAAAGAGTATATGCCAGCTATGTCAATAACTATAATCTAGTTTGTAGCTAATCTAGTTGTTGCTAAGTGCAACCTGTGGGGAATTAAAGAATTATACATTATTATCTCTTAATATAAAAGTAGCCTAGCATACAAAACAAATAGCAGGTATTAAAAAAAGATAAAACACACAAAGTTCTTTGTAGTGAGGGTAAAAATAATTTACAATGGAAAACCAGAATGTATATTTATAAATAAAGCATATGATTGAACATATCTTGAGTTACTAAGAACTTTGAAAACAGAAAGAAAAAGGTTGTTTTGTTTTTTTTTTTTTTTTTTTTTTTTGACAAGCAGAGTGGACAGTGAGAGAGAGAGACAGAGAGAAAGGTCTTCCTTTGCCGTTGGTTCACCCTCCAATGGCCGCCGCGGCTGGCGTGCTGCGGCTGGCGCATCTGGCGCATCGCGCTGATCCGAAGGCAGGAGCCAGGTGCTTCTCCTGGTCTCCCATGGGGTACAGGAACCAAGCACTTGGGCCATCCTCCACTGCACTCCCGGGCCACAGCAGAGAGCTGGCCTGGAAGAGGGGCAACTGGGACAGAATCCGGCACCCCGACCGGGACTAGAAACCGGTGTGACAGCGCCGCAAGGCGGAGGTTTAGCCTAGTGAGCCGCGGCGCCAGCCAATAGTTTTTCACCATTTAATCTAATCAGATGTAAAGTAATGCTCATGTTAAATTTTGAGTTTTGGAAAAGGGAGGTAATTCTCTTTCACTCCTCAATATATTCCTGGCAAATAAAACTCCTAGAGATTTTATATCAACCTGGAGCAGTTCAAGGAGGATCTTTAGTATTTCTTAAGAGGACATATTCCTAAGTACTAGATCATGAAATGCAAAGAAACTACATTATACCATGTCATAAATTCCAAATATTTTAGAGATACCTAGGTGTTGAAAACTGGCACCTTTTGTTTAGTCAAATCAGATTGATTTTTCTAATTGAATTTTAATGCCTTAGGCAGGTAACACAGTCATCAATGTCCAGTCACTATTGTCTCAGACTCATAGCCTGTTCCACCATTGAAATTTACTGAATGGTGGCCACAGCACTGTGACACCTAGACTGCTGCACTATTTATGTCATTTAATGAGGACTTGACAGAATTTAGTCTTTACTTTCCCCAGTCATCTATGAAGTTAAAAAAAAAATAGTGTTCTACATTCTCTTTAAAATAGCAATACCTATGACTTTCCTAGACAGCATATGCATAATACTCAACATCAGAGAAGATCCAGGAGTCTTCAATTTCATTTTGTACACATAACTTCCAATATCTAGCCTCAACCCTCAGCCACGTTCCTTACATATAATTTTTTTCTCAACAGAATAACATGAGTCAAAAATTACTATTCTAAATTATACAATGTATCTATTAAAAATTTCTAATATAAATGTGATATTATATATACAATTTGATATTTTTCCATTCAGTCATCCCTGTTAAATAATAGCTTTCCCTTGATAAAAGGCATTTGCGTTCTACATACATAAGTTCCTAAGATGGCAAAAATGATCCCATAGTGATTAAAACTTGCATTAGTTCTTTGCTCTAATAGTTACACAGAATACAACTCTGATTTATCTTCAGCCTTTTCTTGGTCCAGGAAATACTTTTAAAGCCACTGCCAATTGTCTTTTACTGTCTGTTCTTGCCATGGCTACCGCTATTAAAGAACTTTAATATTTTCATTGCATTACATTCCTGTCATTCCTATTGCCGACATCATTATTTACATGTATTGTATGTTTCAGGCAAATCAGAAGGCCAATATCCAATTTTCATAATTATTTTCCCTGAGATACTTCTGCATTCATTTTCCTTCTCTGATTCGTTCTACTTCATCCATTTATCAAAAAGTCACACATAAACTTCTTCTGTAAGACAACTAAATTGGTGACAGAGTAAACATCATCTATACATCTTTTGAAAGTATATTTTGAAGTTTAGAATATATTGAACCCCATCTCTGGGGCTACATGTAGGCTATTTATGGAAAGAGGACAGAATGTGGCAGAAGAGTTGGGGTGGGTCAACGAATGGCTGGGACCTTTGGCTGGGAGCACTTGACTGTGGAGCCTATTGACAGAGTCAGGACCAAATGGAAGGTAAAAGCCTCAAGAAGGTCAATCCAAGATCAGGGCTTCAGGGACAGCATAGAGTTGCCCCAGGGGCCATACTGGGCCCAGAGATTCCCTGAAAGTCCTGCAGAGGACGTTTCTTACCAGCCCTCACTTCCCCTCCTCTGTCTGTCTCTTCTCCTTCAGTCTCTTCCTCCTAGTTTCCTAGTTTAACTTGTGATGAGGGGAGGAAGCATGTTGCCTTGAAGGCTGTGTTCCTTTTTTCTCTTGTCCTCTTGTTCTTAACTAGCTTCAGAGTAATATAGATAAAAAAGAATCCAATTTAGTAATTTGGATTTTCTTTCCCCAATCATTTCATGTAGGGATGTTTCCCTCAGGAGTAGAACATTCCTAGCACATATCTAGGCCAAATTCACAGATTTTAAGTGACCCTAAATCAATACTGTATCCCAATGTGAACTGGTTTTCCATTCTGCACTTCAGTGGATTATAACAGATTTATACCAGATAACAGAAGCTGATCTATTGAACCCCAGTAAACACTAATAGCTGAGAGGCAAGTAGAAAGAAATGCTGATTTTCTTCACTTTTCTAGAAGTTAAGCACTGTGGGAGAGAGAAGCTTGGTAACAAATTTGTACAGGTCAATTAATTTTTAAAATTTATTTACAAGGCTGAGTAAATTCATATTAAATATTTTATCCAAGGAGTTAAAATGCTCCACATTTAATGTTTGATAACAAGCATTTTTATTCTAGTTCATAAAATGGACAAGTTCAGGCAAAGACCATGGATGTTAATTATTTAATTTCCCACCACAAGTCTATTGAAAACCTGAAATGAAATAATCACTTCCATTCTAAGGCTGCATGCAAGTATAATTTGAAGCTGAAAAACAAAACCTCACAGTAAATGCTCATATAAGCAAACTAAAAAGAAATTAAATCAACATTTACTTTAGCTGGATAGTGATGTCAAGACACACTGACAAGTTTTGAAAACATTTAAAAATCTCTTTAATAATGCAAGCATATTATTTTATTCAAACATTTATTCTATTTATTCAAATATTTATTTTATTTTATTCAAACACTCTGCTTTTCCCAGCACACATAAAGATTCATTCCACATACATCAGGCATCAAGTTGATAATTTACTCCAACTGAATGAAAAGCGTAGCAATAAAAAAGTGGTATATTCTATATATTATAATGAAATCAATCAATTTCTTTTTACTTCCATGTTATTCTTATACATCATCTATCTCAATAGTTTTCCTGGTTCTTAATGTCATGACTCCTATATTATTTCAAAAAAATATTTCTTCCTCCAGACACTAATAGTTAATTTGATGTGTGAACTTGGCTGGGCCAAAGGGTGCACAGGCATCTGGTCAAATATTAGGAACACCAATGAGGTTAACATTTCAATCAGTGAACTTAGTAAAGCAGACTGACTCTCTGAAGTGGAGACCCACATTTTATCAGCTAAAGGCTTAATAGAACAAGGCTTCACAAGGAAGGTGGGACTCCCCTTGCCTGAATGCTTTAAGATGAGACTTCCATCTTTCCTTTTTGGATTTGAACTGAAACATCAACTTCTTCAGCATCTTGATTGTGCTAGATTTTACAGTAGAACTTACACCATCAGTTTATTCTTTTTTTTAAATATTTATTTATTTATTTGAAAGCCAGAGGCAGAGAGAGAGAGAGAGAGAGAGAGAGAAAGGGAGAGAGAAAGAGAGAGAGAGAGAGCACGTCTTCCATCTGCTGGTTCACTCCCCAGATAGCCTCAATGGCCAGAGCTGGGCTGATCCAAAACCAGGAGCGAGGAGCTTCTTCTGGGTCTCTCACAGGGTACAGGGGCCTAAGGATTTGGGCCAACTTCCACTGCTTCCCCAGGCTACAGCAGAGAGCTGGATTGGAAGTGGAGCAGCTGGGATTCAAACCAGTACCCACATGGGATGCAGGCACTGAACGTGGGGGCTTTACCCTCTATGCCACAGTGCAGGCCACACACCATCAGTTTT